ACAAAAAACAATACAACCTGCTACACATTACACCCTGCAGATCAGCCCAACCTGGCACACAACACACCCTTCAGGGCAGTACAACCTGATACACGATAGGACCTGGGGCATGATACAACTTGTTATTCAATACAATCTGTTACATAATACAGTCTGGTAACCAATACAACATGCAGCACAATACGAACTGGTAAACAAGACAACCTGCAGAACAACCCAACTCGCTACATAATGACCCTGGTACACAATACAATTAAGTACACACTACAACCTTTGGGTCAATACAACCTTCACAGCACGACAACCTGATACACAATAGAACCCAGCACATGATACAACCTCTTATTAGATACAACGAGTACACAATATAGCCTTTTAGCAAAATACAAACTGGTGCACAATATAACTTGCACTCAGTCTTTTTTCCAGGGTTGGGAAATCGAGGACTAGAGGGCATCAGTTTAAGGTAAGAGGGGAAAGAATAGATGGGAACCTGAGAGGCAACTTTTCTTTTACACAGAGGGTGGTATGCATATAGAATGAGCTGCCAGCAGAAGTGGTTGAGGTAGGTACTGTAACAACATTTAAAAAGGTGTTTGGACAAATACATGGATAGGAAAGGTTTAGTAGGATGTGGGCTGAGTACAGGGAAATGGGGTTAGTGTGGATGGACATTTTGGTCAGCATGGACCAGTTTAGGCTGAAGGGCCTGTCTCTATGCTGTAGGACTCGATGACTCTCTAAGTCTGGCAGTGGAGAGAAATCATAGTTAACGCTTTGGGTCGAGTGACCCTTCCTCAAACACCAGTATACAGTAATGACTGGTGGGATAGAACTTGGTCTACAGTACAGTCTAGTACACAATATAAACTGCAGGATAATACAACCTACAGGACAAAACAGTTCACTACACAATACAACCGGCAGCATAATACAACCTGGTACACATCACAACCTGCAGGACAATACAAACTTGTATGATATACCTTTACAAACCTGGTACACATGACAGCCTGCAGGAGAATACAGTTTGGTACACAACATAGTCTGGTACACAATTCAGATCTGTATACAATACAAACAGTAGGATACAACTTGGAACACAATACGGTCTGGTACGTAAAGCAACCTGAGACATGGCGCAACCTAGAGGACAACACAACCTGGTACACAATCAACCAGCCGAATACAACTTGGTACACATTGTAACCTGCAGGACAGTTCAACCTGGTACACAGTACGGCCGGTACACAAAAAAACCTGCTACACAATACAACCAGCATGATGCAAACTGGTATACAATACAACCTGGTACACAATACAACCTGATATAATAATGCACCCCTGTACACCCTGCAACCTGCAGGACAACACAATCTGGTGCGCAATACACCAGCAGGACAATACAGCCTCATACACAGTACAATACAGTTCGGTACACAATAGAACCAGCAGCATAATTCAACCTGATACACAATACAGCCTCATACACATCATAACCTGTAGGACAATACAATCTGGTACACAGTAAAATCTAGCACATAGTAAAATCTGATGCACAATACAACTTGTAGGACAACACAACCTGGTACACAAAATAAGCTGTGGGAGAATATAGCATTGTACACAACACAACCTGGCACACAGTACAGCCTGCAGGGCAAATCAACCTACTATGCAATGCAGCCTGGTACACAATACAAATAGCAGGATACAACATTGTGCATAATACAGCAGACAGGACAATACAACCTTGTATACAATACAACCAGCAAGACAATAGAACCTGGTACACAATACAACAATCAGGGTAATACAAAAGTGCACGGCACAACCTGCAGGGCAATACAATCTGGTACACAACACGACCTGGTACACATTACGACCTGGTACAGAACACAATCTGCGGACAACATGCAGGAGAACCTAAGCTGGTACCCAATGGAGCCTGGTACAAAATATAACCTTCAGCACAATACAGTGTGTGGTAAATTACAACCAGCAAAACAATACAATTCATTCTGGTATGCAATAAAACTTGGTACAAAATTCAACACATAGGACAATACAACCTGGTACATGATACAAACTGGTACATACTACAACCTGTATGACAATACAGCCTGGTACACAATATAATCTACTATACAATGTAGTCTGGTATAAAAATTAATTAGCAGGATATAACCTGGTACACAACACAAAAAAACCAAAGAACTGTGGATTGTTGCAAATCAGAAACAAAGTCAGAAATTGCTGGAAAAACTCAGAAGGTCTGGCAGCATCTCTGGAGAGCAGAGTTAACGTTTTGCGTTCAGTGACCTTTCTTCATAAGTGCAATTTCTGATATTATTTATGCTTCAAAATATAACTGGCAGGATACAACCTGGTATATGATTATAACCTGGTAGGATACAACCCAGTGTATAATATAACCTGGTACACAATATAACCGCAGGACAAGCCAACCTTGCACACAACACAGAGATAACAAGGTATAGAGCTGGATGAACACAGCAGGCCAAGCAGCATCAGAGGAGCAGGAAGGCTGATGTTTCGGGACTAGACCCT